TTGGCAGAGAGACTGGCACAGATGTAAAAACAGAGATCAAACTAACACATAGAGTAACAATTCCTTCATGTAATGAAGTATACTGTATATTGATTGACATGGAATGACTGTGGCTACTGTTGGTCCCAATATTCAATATTACTGAACAGTGACATTACCTTTGTAAGTCAACCCCAAGTGTTTATGTGAATTTTGCACGTTTGGAAGATGACATCTGTGTCAGGCTCAGCTCAGTGGAGAGAGTTTGGTTTAGGCGGGAAGATGCAACTCTGGAATAATGAACAAAGGCATGCTTTAAACAATAGCAGTAGTAGAGGACATGTGATTTGTGGTGCAGGGCTTAGATTGAATTGACTCACTGAGGGTGTGTCTTTGTTTCTATCTGAGAGGGAGCACACTCTCCTCATGCTCTGCTTTCTCCTTCTTTTTTTTCTCCAGTGAATCTGTCTCGCAATAAGGTTGTTTAGACACACGAGTATGTGCGACGTGTGATGAGGTGTGTGTGAAGTGTGAACATAAATATAGAAGCAGATTCCGTTGTACCGTACCATGTGAGTAAATTAGATTACCATCACTGTCGCTGACCTCAATGTGAGTGGCGCCTCCAACAAAGCTTGAGCAATAAGGGAGAGTGTGCCCCACTGACACACAACAGCACACATGCAGCATCGACAGCCACATCCCTACAGGCATAAGGCACAGCAACGCGGAGCCAAAGAGCATGTGGCAGAAACGAGAGAAGAGAGGGACCACAGAAAAGACAGCAGCAAAAGATGGGGAGATAGAAAAGGGTGGTGAATGAAAGAGGAAACGAAGGACACACACATAAAGCGGGAAAAGGAGGGCAAGAGTGTGGTGGGGGAGGGGGAAACAGCAATTCCAATATGGAGGGTAAGAGTGGAGGAGATGGAGAGGGAAGCTGCAAAAAACAGTGGAGGGAAAAGCAGGGTGCTGTGTGTAACAAAACAGAGCAGAGGCAGATGAGAACAGCAAGTACTGCAGGGAGTGGTATGTTTTAGCATAACAGCAATATTGTACTATCTAAAAACTCATCAGGAAATGACATATCCCCTTGGCACCCAGAAATCTTGAAAGAGCAGATCCTTAGGTGTTATCACAGTGACCTGAAGCTGTAATATTTCTCTAAGTGACAAAGAAAAGCAGATTGATTCTTAAAGCGTCTTCTGTTCACTCTAACAACATATTCTGCATTTTGCAATTACATGCTGGGATATTTCGGACAAAAAAAATGGAATACTTATGGAAGTATAAACATATAAAATATAAAATTGAATCCAGCCTAGATAAAATGTTAAATCAAGTTATCTACATCAAAGGTCTTGTTTATTGTGCAGGTGTCAAGTAATCATGTAATTCATTGGCAGTATTAATAAGTTCATCACTTTATATCTGCACCCTGTAAAAAGAATGTTGCTCTTTCTGGAGCGTATTGGTGAAATGTTCTGAATTAAGATCCTACTCCTGATGTGGCAAAGTCAAACTTGGTTGCTATAGGAATGCTGACAAAAAATGAAACCCAGGAAATCAGAAGGCAGCACTTCAAGTTTGAAGGAAGAGTAAAAAGTGAAATAACGCACATAGAACAATGCTCATGTTTAGAAAGCTTGAAATAAAATGTGAGTAAATAGTTCAGAGGGATCCTTAAAAGGTTGCTAAGGAAAGTCAAAAGGACTAACTCTCTCAAATTGCTGAATTTACAGTTCACACAGTCTGCACTCTGTGAGCAGTTGTGTCCCTCTCTCCCCCTGACATTAGCCACTGCTCTTATACCCTCGCACCCCATGACACTGAGTCCACTTTAATGAGAAAAAAAAAGCTCTCACTCGCTTAACAAAGACAACATACAGACATGTAAAACACGAGGGTCATTGCACTGTGCAATACAAACACAATTGCATGGATCTTCTGAAGCAGCCAAGCAGACTGACAAGGCCACTAGAGCAAGCAGCCACAACTCCACCAAAGAGAGCATATACACAGGGAAAATACACAGGGAGTATATATGATAAACATGCTGTATTCATAAGCTAGTTTTGAGTCGTATGGGAAGAAGATTTAAAAAAGATTGTTGAATATAGACAATGAGTTGATTTTTCAGTAGCTCAAAGACACATCTATTCTGAATGGCACGAGTTGCAGTTCATCCTTGTCTCATCCATTTTTTCCCTCCAAATGATGCAACCAAAAGTACCATGGCATCCTAATTAAAGCTCCTTACAGTTCAGTAAAAGACACTCAACCAGCTCACAGTGCAACCAGAGAGAAATAATGATCCACCGACATCATCCTTCTCTCTTAATGAGACACAGTCACATCAATAACACTTTTTTTTCTGTGCATCGGCTGTCCAGGCACAGCATAGCACTACTGCAAGAGCACATGATGCCTCACACACACATCAAAAATGCCTTGCATAAAATATTCATACATACAGGCAAAGGGGTAGTTTTTGCTTGTGGAGCAAAGAATAAAACTGGACAGAGGAGCTGCAGCGATAGTGTGACCAGCCTCAACGCCATGAAGCAGAGCTGCTGCTCCACTCTGAATCTGAACTGATCCTTTCTGCGTTCAGACCGCACACTGGTTTCCTGCTTTGTATACACACACGTTTGTCTGACAGTCATTTCTATAGGTGGGAAATCTAAGGTTGACCCAGTTGTTTGAGAGAAAAGATTATAATAATATCTAATTAGAAGCTCAACTACGATTCAATATTGTTTCTATATCTGCACCATCTGCTGCCTGATTTAAATAGGGATGTTGTTGACATAATCTGTTTCTTTCTAAATAAACCCATTTTCATTAAATATTGTGAGATGTCTATAGATGAGTTGTACAAAAGCCTCTTCCCCTCCCCCCATCTCTACTGCTCTCTCTCTCTATCCCTCCCTCCCTCCTTCATCCTCTTCCGCTGCTGTTGCTAAGAAGGCTCAGTGCATGCTAGTATGTGGAAACCAGTAGACTCCGAGAGGTGGGTCTCCCAGTGCGTTGCTATGGGCAACACACAGTGTTCGACAGAGAATCAGCCAAGAAGCATGTAGACCTTCACACATGTGATACAATATGACCTATTTTTTTGTTGAATAAAAGCGATCATCTGCTCAGGAGCTTGAGTGTGTGTGTGTGTGTGTGTGTGTGTGTGTG